GGAATGTTACACCTGACCCCTAGACTCAATTTTGATACTGCACTAGGTGTCGGCTTGGGCTGTCTTTGATATGCCAATCAGTGAGATCCTTAGAGGGGGTCAAAACTTGGGTATGTTGGGACAGTCCGAGAATTCATCTGAGTGGGTGATCATAGTAACAGGATCAGCCCCTTTGTCGGACAAAGGTAATGATCGGGGATGCACTCTCTCTGAAGGAAACCAAGACTGTCGGCAGCCGATTTCAATCGTTGAGATTTGTTTTGCAAAATATATTTTATAAATGGATATAAAAGTATATATGTTATGGTTTCAAATTGTTTGCAAAAGATTTTAATTCCCGGGATCCATGTGAGTAGAGAGTGTAGCACTGTTCCTTGCAGTCGAGGGAGAGGTCCTCTCTTGTCGGGCAGTGTATGATCATTATGGAATGAGAGATTAAGTGTAAGACCATTGAGGGTAATATCTGATGGGCTAATCTTGCATCTTCCCACAGTCACTGGGTGTTACAAGGTGGCATGGCCCAGGGACCACTTAGTGTAAGTGTTGGGCCCATAGAGTCCATGTCATAGGCACAGGGGGTTCACTGGGCTTTCTAGTGAATTCGACTAGGCTTTGTAACAAAGGCTGGGACGAACCCTTGTGGCTGATGTGTAGATCAATGCTTGGGCCCCATGCCATACAAGGAAGCCCAACTGGGCAGCAATTTGGAAGGTTAAATGAGCACATACTCTTATTGGGCTTAAAGCCCATTTTGAACTGGGCTAATTTGATCAGTTAAATAAATGGGTGAATCTGAGATTAGATTAGCAGATAAGATAGGGTCTTACCCTATCCACTCAGAGAGTCCAAATCTGAATACAGATTCAGATCTGGAAACCTCCTGATAAGATCAGGAGAGGGCTGATCTAATATGCAGATAAAATAAGGGTATATCCTTATCTCTTAAAAGGAATTCAGATCCAAATATGATTTGGATCAGCAACTCCTAATGGGATTAGGAGTTGATCCCTTTAAGGTTATAAAAGGAGAAGGGGGTGGCAGCCTTTAGAAGATCATCACATTCACATCAGAGAGAGAACATAGCACCCAGTGAGACTGAGTTATTTTCTCCTTGCCGCCTCCTTCCTGTCGCCGCCACAACTGCCAGTTCGATCTCCTCTTTCAAGCAGGAACGGTCAAGATTGGATCTTGATATCAGCCTTTGGAGAAAGGTTGATCTGAAGTTGTGCTCACAACCTCTAGCGAATTCTTGGGAAGGGTTCGGTTCGTTGGACGAACATTGCTGACTCTGCTCCATCCTACACTGTGCCATCTTTAGTGGGAGCAGTTTTTGGTTCCTTCCTTCGGCGTGAACACCTCCATTGGGAGATACTATTTCTCCGTATCAGGTATATCCCTCTCCTGCTTCTGGTTTCAGATATGGTTTTGTTTATGGTTCAAGATTGATCTTTGAAAATGCAGATTTTCTAAAATATGGAATGTGATTCCCAGATGAGGGGAGAGGAAATTTTTGAAATTTCGCCTAAACTACCTACAGGGTTTGGCCATCCATATGATGGATCTCTAATCCCTTCATGAGCACCTTTGGGGGTGAGGGTGGAGGGGACCTCCGTGTCGGGCCTAGCATGGCCCGTGGGCCTTCATGTCATGTCGTACCAGGCCGCGGGCGGGGCGGCCCGATTTACACCTCTATATAGGACCTGTGGAGAGAATACACCTGGACTCATGCATGCACATGCACACACTTGGTCAAGCCAGGCTAGGCAAGGCTTACACACGTGCACCTGTTCACCACATCATGTGGTGGTGTTTTTCTACTTTTCTTTGTTTTTGTGAGTCCTCTTCTCTTATATTTTGAAATTGCTTCCTCTCCCGCACAAGGTTCAAAGTATCAATACGATACGCATTTCGGTCGTATCGTATCGGTACTGAGAAACAACTGATACACACTTTTTTTTAATTTTTTTTCAAAGTTTGGTTTTTTTGGAATCTTATCAGATGTTTTTTTATTATTAAAAAAAGTTGGGGGTCCGAAACACCTGGAAACAAGTGATTCGGACCGTATCTTTTTCAAAATATACAATACGATATGCCCGATACGGGGGGCGTATCGTATCGATACTTTGAGCCATGCTCCCGCATTCTTTACGGGTTTGACTCTCCAAGATGTGGGAGAGGTCATAAGAAAAGCAGAAGACATTTTTCGTTGGTTGAGCACTCTCTAGTGGTTTTTGAAAGGGAGAATGATGATTCAACCCAGGGTCAGAATTTGTACGCTCAAAGTACTGATGGGTAGGTGCCAGCTCGGAAATGATGCCAATTCACGGGTGAGCGTTGGTTTATAGAGTGTGGGTTGTTGCCATTTTTAATGTTTATTGCTCTGCAATAGAAATCAGAAATCTGCATAGAGCCTACCCGTATTTCTCTGATGTTGAAATTAAAAAAAAAAATGCTTCTCGTTAATTACAATTTTCTCTTTCCCATTGGACTGTGTTTTCCTATTGATATCATTTTAGGTATACATAGTGTAATGGTTTGCTACTTTGGGTCGTGAATGCAAACAATGCCAAGGGTGAGAATTGTTGTATTCTAGAGTCCAACCACTAGAAACCTTTTACACCAACAAACATTTTCCAAAAGGGGAAAAATCGATTTTAAGAAAAGCAAACACTCGCCACAACTCAATTGTTATCGATAAGTTTATCTAAATTCTCATAATTTTCCAACAATCTCTAAACTGATTCCATAGTTGTGGAAAACCCTTATCTTGGTTTGTCAAAGTTCGAATCCTTTGATGGAAAGAATTATCATAACCGGTTTGAAAAGAATCATGATTTTTCTTGAGAATCATAATCTAACTTATATTTTGTCTAAATATCATGGAAACCGGACCGGACCGGATGGTCAGACCATGAAAACCAATAACCGTTCAGCCCCCAGGTTCGGTTATACTATAAACCGGTAAATCTTTAAAACCCATTGAAAAAGTCAGAAAACCGCGGACCTAGGCGGTCGAACCGCTAAACCATTCAACCTGGGCAGCGGTTCGCAGGTTATCATCTTTATTTTCCCTGATTTAAATAAATGAAAAAAAAACAAAAAACAAAATAACCCTATATCCCCAATCCCTCTTACGCTTAGGGTTAGAACGACCCCATTTTCGTTCTAACCCTTCCCTCCTCTCATCCGTCACACCCAACCGACCACCTGTGGTGGCCACGACCTACAGGTCTGGCAACCGATTTGCAGTGGCGACCGACGATGACGGTGACCGGTGAGGATGGTGAGCTTCGTCTACAACGGACAGCATTGATTTTGCAACAGATCCAGCAATAAGAGTTGTGGGTTGCGGTAGTAACAGGTCTGGCAACCGATTTGCAGTGACGACCGATGATTTTGCAGTGGCGATTTTGCAACCTTACTTGTACTGGAGGTGATGGTATATTTCCTGCCCACTATTCTCCCATGCTTGTTCAATCTGCAACTTTTGGGAACCACCTGACCTTCAGTCCTTAGGAGTGAAGGTTATAAAATTCAAAAACATTGTTTTCTTTTATCAAAAAAGAAACAATGCAAAGCTTTTGGGTTCCCAAGAGTTTTCCTTGGGAACCACCAATTTTGAGCCTAACAAGCTGACACTCAATTGGGAACCACACCCAAAAGTTTTGTATTTTTTTTTATTTTATACCTTTAGGGTTGAAAGACTGAAGGTCGGATGGTTCCCAAAATTGAACATATACTTTTTATTTTTTAATTTATTTATGACATCACGGGCCAAACCATTTGACTCGGACAGTTTAACCGCTTAACCAGAAACCAATCCCCTGACCATTTATGTTTCTGGTTCGTTTTTAAAAACCTTGCTAAATATACTAAATCGAATCAAGAACATGAACATATTAGAAGTGTTATTAATTAGATGTTCAAGAAAGATGACACGATAGATCCCAGATCCTGAATTCGTTATCTAATTCTCTATTTGATATTTATTGTACTTATAAGGCTTCAAAGAAAATTTACTCTACTTTGAAAAAGAAATATACCATTGAAGATGCAAATATAAAGAAATAGGCTATTGCGAATTTAGTTGACTTTTAAGATGATCGATTACAAATCCGTGATGGAGGAAGTGTGATGAGGGGTAAGTTGGCCCGACCTAACAACCGAGGTACACGTGGACACGATCAGTCACTAGGATGACAACTCAGTAAGCGAGCCTCGCCAGCAGCTCAAGAGCCTGGGACCTTGAGCACCTCGCCATAAAGGCACCTCGGTACCAAATCCATTTTGAAGCCAAAGAACCAAGGTGCAAGTTTGGGACCAAAGAGTCGAACCACCACATAATCAACTCCAAAAGCTTCCCCAACGGATTCCAAATCTCCCAGGATCACGACATCTAATAACAGGGCTCATCCTCACACCGTCTGAATCGGAGGAAAGTGATAAACCTTATCAACTGGCACAATGCTCTCCTTCAAAAACGGAATGAATCTTATCTATGCAATCTAGGGATTCTGGAGCCTTTTTGTAAGGATTATGACTATTCAACTATATAAAGGCATCGATCCTCAAGGCGAAGGTACGTGCGATTATTTGCTCACTAGCACTCTAGCACTCAAGTATTTAGCTTGCATCCACAATACAGTACTGACTTAAGCATCGGAGTGGCCTCACCGGGTTAGCCACCCCGGGTTCTCTGATCCTTTATCTTGCAGCTTGGTCCAACTCGCCACGCGACTAGGGTCTAGGGAATCTTCCAGCTAGGAGTATCCAGATCACGCACTATCAATTGGTGTCGTCTGTGGGAACCAATCAAAAGGTCATCCCAATCCAATTGTAGTTTCAGCTTTTGATCTATCTCAATGGATTCTTCCAGCAATGCCGAAAAAAGCATCGAGATGAATGCCACCGGGGGACAAGATCAGCAATCAACCTTCCCCCAAAACCCCACGGTATGCATCGGCCAATTTACTATTCCCCTTACGGCTTCAGGGGTCCCATCACTGTTCGTACCACAGGGCACCACGCAAGTGAGCGTCTCGATTTCCCCAGTGGGCGTAACATTCTTTGAGCCATCCGTGGCCCCCTTGGAATTGAGCACTCCCAATTCCAAGACCTCGTTCAATGTCTCCAGACGATACAGATCTAGATGCAGCAGGTCCAACAGCTTCAACATTATTAGCAGTACTGCATGTACTGCTAGTATCAGCAGCAATTCCCACCACTACAGCCGAACCAGCAGCGAATTCCACCCTGGCACCCAAGGTTGCGCCAGGGCCAGAACCAGAACCTGCCTGGAACTAGCCAGAATGTCCGTCGATCCCCTCATCGGGGTGAGGGACCTTGAAGGTGCCCGTCCCTCCCAGGGGTCAGGCTTCACCTCGTGGGAGGAGAGACGGTCAGCATACCCCTCCAATCTCACAAGGAAACTTTAGAAATAGGCTTGAAGATAGTCAGCTCAACAGGGCCAACCCGCCGCAGCACTCCTAACAGGAAAACAATGGATGACGAGGAGATAACAACCAGCCCGGAGCTCGAGGTGTGAACTCAAGGACAAACCCTTCGGTGCCTTGTGATAGTCGGTGCGAACTCCACAACCAAGAGAACTCGACAAGAAGGAAACAGGATCCACATCGTGACAATGTCCGTAATGATGCCGAGATACCAGATCAGACCGAGGTCAGCAGCACCGACGCTGAGCCGGTGAAGAGGCAACAACGGCGATGCCACAAGACGCATCGCTCCTCAACCAGAAACAGTCCGCCAGCGAGGCCAACCCAACAAGAAGAGCGAGCTAAAGAAAGGGAAGAAGTGAGCCCGGTGGCAATGAAGGTTGTGCCTCCCTTGCTTAGACGGTCATCTCCCCTATCTCTCGAGCTCCTAGCAACCCCAATGCTGAAAGGCTTCAAGGTACCCCATTAGATAAGTATGACAAGTTATTTGACTCCAACGATCACGTGGATTCTTTCCAGTCTCAAATGCACTTGGCCGGGGCTGACAAATCCTGCATGTGTGTGGCCTTCTCCATCACGTTCAGGAGGGTAGTCCGAACCTGGTAAAGGAACCTCACGCCAGGCTCCATTAAAAGTTGGATGCAGTTTGCCGACCTGTTCACTGCACATTTCATTACCAGCAAGAAATGTCTAAAGTCACAAGAAAGCCTTCTGAACGTGGTTCAGAGGGAAGGAGAATCAATCAGAAGCTACAACAAGTGCTTCAACGGTACTTGCCTGTAGATATCGAACCTTGATCCAGCGATGCAACTTACTACATAAAAAAAAAAGAATCACTCACTAAGAGTTCAAGTGGCATGTGGAAGCCAACAAACCAAAAGATATCACTGAGTTCCTTAAGTTGGCAAACCAATTCATCAGTACCAAGGAGGAGATTAACCAAAAGACTAGCAATCCACCATTGGAAAAGAGGAAAAAAGATAATGAAGGGATGAGAAATAGTGGGCAGAAAAGAAAGAAGAGCAAGTCCCCGAGTAGGGGAAGAAGCAAACCAAGAAGTAGGTCCCCTTCGAGCGGGCACAAGTCAGGTCGGCGTTCCAGGACTCCGCCCGTAGAGAGAACAAACTATACACCTCTAAATGATAAGCGAGGAGAGGTCCTAATGGCTATTAAGGACTCCTCCTCGTCAAATGGCCTCCCGAGACTAGCAGGCAGAATGAGGAGCCACCTTGGTAGTTGCCAGAGGAGAGGCCAGTTTGCGGAGTGATCAATATGATCACCGGCGGATCCATCATTGCAGGATGTACATCAGCAGCTGGGAGGACCTTGGTCTTTGAATTGGAGAATGAAAGCGAAAACCCGCCAAAGCGACCTCGGCTCGAAAAACCCGCCAAACCTTATCAATCTTGGTTTCACCTCCTTCTTCATCATCAAGTAATGAAGAGCTGCATGATCAGAATAAACAATGACTTTAGTACCAAGCAAATAAGATCGAAACTTTTCTAAAGCAAAAACAACCGCTAAAAGCTCCTTTTCAGTGGTAGAGTAATTCTTTTGAGCATCATTCAAAGTTTTCGAAGCATAATAAATGGCATGAGATGCTTTTCCAATTCTTTGACCCAAGACAGCGCCTACTACATGATCACTTGCATCACACATAATCTCGAAGGGAACATTCCAGTCTGGGGCTGGATGATTAGGGTAGAGGTCAGTAGTTCTTTCAGCCTATCAAAGGCCTTTTCACACGCCTCATCAAACTCAAAAACCACATCCTTTTGTAGCAACCTGCATAGGGGTAATGCTGTTTTGGAGAAGTCCTTGATGAATCTCCTATAAAAACCTGCATGTCCAAGGAAAGAACGAACCTCCCACACACTAGTGGGATAAGGCAAAGAATGAATAACATCAATTTTAGATTTATCTACCTCAATTCCCCTAGATGAAACAACATGACCCAAAACTGTACCTTGTTCAACCATGAAATGACATTTTTCAGAATTCAGCACAAGGTTAATTTCTATGCATCTTTGAAGAACAAGTGTAAGGTTATGCAAACAGTTACCAAAGGAATCTCCATAAACTGTGAAATCATCCATAAAGACTTCTATGATATTCTCAATGTAATATGAAAATATGCTGATCATACACCTTTGGAAAGTGGTCGGGGCATTGCAAAGGCAAAAGGGCATGCGACGATATGCAAAGGTCCCGAATGGGCATGTGAAAGTTGTCTTTTCCTTATCTTCTAGAGCGATTGCAATCTGAAAATACCCTGTATAGCCATCAAGGAAACAGTAGTAAGAATGACTAGCTAACCTTTCAAGCATTTGATCAATAAAAGGTAAAGGGAAGTGGTCCTTGCGGGTTACAGCATTTAATTTTCTATAATCTATACAATCCCGCCACCCATTCTAAATACGAGTGGGAACCAATTCATCATTCTGATTTTTCACCACAGTAATTCCTGTCTTTTGGGGAACCACTTGAACCGGGCTAACCCAACTGCTGTCAGAAATGAGGTAGATCACTCCGACTTCTAGAAGTTTGAGGATCTCCTTCTTCACTACGTCCATCATGAGTGGGTTCAGCCTTCCTTGTGGTTGATGGGAAGGTTTCGCTCCTTCTTCAAGTAAGATGCGATGCATGCATGAAGATGGGCTGATTCCTTTGATATCCGCAATCATCCAACAAATATTCGTCTTATGCTCCTTGAGAACATGCACAAGCAGTTCTTCTTGTGGTGTGCTAAGGCTACTAGAGACGATCACTGGTAATGTCTCTCCGTCTCCAAGGAATACATACTTGAGGTGACTAGGGAGAGGCTTCAATTCTGGAATAGGGGCCTGCAAAACAGAGGGTAAAGGTCTCCTGTCAGAAATTGGCAATATAACATAAGGAGCATTACCTAACTGTTGTAACTCTGGAGAATCATCCAATGCTGCAATAGTTTCCTGCAAATCAGCATTCAGCATTGCCTCCTCTTTCTCAAGATGCTTGCTGATGGAAACTTCTAATCCATCCTTCCCATCGAGTTCAAAGACTTCATGTGCCAAAGAATCAATCGCATCAACAGAACAAATAGGATTATCATCAGCAAAATATTTCATGGCATCATAAATATTAAACTTAACAATTTCACCATCAAATTCCATGTGAATGTGCCATTATGAACATCTATCTTAGTCTTGGATGTTTTTAAGAATAATCTCCCAAACAAAATAGGAGTGTTTTGATTACTATTATCCATATCAAGCACATAAAAATCAGCAGGGAAAACCAAATCAATAACTTTCACAAAAACATCCTCAACTACACCCTTAGGATAGGCATTAGATCTATCAGCTAATTGAATTACTACACCAGTCTTATTCAAAGGTCCAAGTTTCAAAGAAGCATATATAGAATATGGCATGACATTAATAGAAGCTTCTAAGTCTAGCATGGCCTTCTCAATTCTAATGTTACCTATGATGCAGGGGATAGTGAACATACATGGATCCTTGCACTTTGTATGGAGTTTTCTTTGAATAACTGCAGAAACATTCTCCCCTACTCTCACCTTTTTACATCCTTTTAGTTTTTGTTTTCTCTTATGTGTACACAATTCTTTCAGGAATTTAGCATAACGAGGTACTTGTTTAATAGCATCTAAGAGTGGAATGTTTACCTCGCATCTATGAAAAGTCTCATAGAAGTCTTTATACTGCTAATCTATTCTACAACCTACTAAAGCATTAGGAAAAGGAGGTATCGGTTTATAATCGGAAAGAGGTGGAAACTTACGCTTAGGTACTCTATCATCATCGAAGTGATGTCTTTCTCCTTTTCATGATTTGACAACGCGGGGGCTGCCCTTGTTGGTGTAATTTCCCAGAATGATTGCACTTGCATTTTCTTTTGGATTCACAACCCTTTGAGAGGGTATTTTCCCCAAACTTTGTGCCTCTACCCGATTAATTGTGGTTGCCATCTGGCCCATCTGATTGTCCAAACGTTGGATACTGGCCCTCGTCTCTTGCTGAAATTGTTTTTTCTCCTATTGAAATAACAAAGTATTAGTGGCAAGAGATTTAACAATATCCTCTAAAGACATACATGAATCAGAAGTTTGGGTTGGCTGTTGTCTAGGGGGGTGCGGCTAATATTGCTGGAAACTCGGCCGATTTTGTGGATTCCCAAAGCCGAGATTGGGATGATCCCTTCATCCCAGATTATACGTGCTCGAATAAAGATCATACTTCCTTTGTGGTTGCCCTAAAAAACCACCTGCTACATTTACTTGCTCAACGGGCTCCTCTTGAAGAGTTGGGCACATATCAGTTGGATGCCCTACTACCGAACATATCCCACAAGCCTTTACTGTTTGCATGTTACCTACAGCCATTTGATGAATAAGAGAAGTCAGACTTGCAATTTGTTGTTCTAGGGAAGAAATATTTACCTCATTAGCATGCTTTGATGGAGGGTTAAGCCTATAGCCAAACTGTTGAGAGTTGGCCGCCATATTTGCAAGCAGATTTCTCACGGCCTTGGGGGTTTTATCTACTAAAGCTCCTCCACTAGCAACATCAATCATGCTCCTATCAGTGGGTTGAAGACCCTCATAGAAATACTGGATCAGTAGTTGCTCGTTCATTTGATGATGGGGGCAGCTTGCACATAATTTCTTAAAGTGTTCCCAATACTCATGTAGGGACTCCCCATTGTACTGCCTTACACTGTATATTTCCTTTCTGATGTTGGCCGCCCTTAAAGTTGGGAAATACTTCTCTAAGAATAGCCTCTTCATTTCGTTCCATGTGGTAACACTCCCGGAGGGTAGATAATAGAGCCAATCCTTAGTTGAATCCTTCAGAGAAAACGGGAAGGCTCTCAATTTGATTCATTCTTCAGTCACCCCCGTGGGTTTCATACTCGTGCACAACACATGCAACTCCTTCACCTGCAATGCTTGTGAGGATCCTCACCTGCAAGACTGTGAAAAGTGGGCAACAGATGTATCAGTCCAGATTTCAATTCAAAATTAGCATCAGCATCTAAAGCAGGAAAAGTTATGCTTAAGGGTTGTTGATTCAAATCAAGTGCATTGAGCTCTTTCAAGGTTCGGTTTCTAGCCATGATGTCCTCTTCTCTCAAATCAGAATCGTTAAAGGATAGGGAATCAAGAGCTGGATCATTCTCTTCAGAATGACTCCGAGCTTCTCTCCTTAACCTACGCAAAGTTCCCCCTATTTCTGGATCGAACTGCAAATCACCTTTCTTAGAGAATCGAGTTATAGGCATAAATCAAGGAAACCCTAATAACCCATGAACGACATACCATAAAAAAAATAAAAAATAAAAAAAATCTAGAATGATAAAAATAAATAAATAAAACATAAAAGAATCTACGCTAAAACACAAACAATCAAAGTCATCTATAAAAAAAATTCGAAAATTCAAAAACAAAAGAATGATCACAAGAAGCACAAAAACATATTAGAAAAACTCCCCGGCAATGGCGCCAAAATTTGGCGTGCTGTCATAGGCACACAAAAATAAAACCAATACTCATAAAAATAAAATGCAGTAGTGCGAGTAAGGATCGTTCCCATAGAGAGCATCTAACCAAAATTATGTGCTACGTGAATCAAAGATGGAAGGGGGGTGTATGTAACGAAAACCATAATTAAAAGAAAGAAAATCAAAATTAAAAAGAACAAAATTTAAATGGGAAGCAAGGCAACTTAGAGTGCTGAAACTAACCAAAAGGATGAATCTTGGTCTAGGATAACATCCACCATCAGAATTTCACAACTGCACATCGATGCAAAAATAAATCAATTCAGAATTCGAATATTCATCGTAGGAATTACTTTCTTGCATCTCCCTATCATAGTTAATCAGAAAACAAGCGATCCACTTAACCCTTACTACTGAACAACCCCTAAACAAGCATTAAAGATTTAATCCAACAATAGCCTTAAAGATTACAGATCGATGAAGCTAAACAACACAAGCACAAGCGGTTGCATTTAATTTAGTCGAGTGTTCTTCCTAAGATCTAACGATTTTTGACGCAGCAAACCATTAAACTCTACTTGCTTCGCATATTATAGGGATCAAAAAATTATGGATTTGATATCTAATCAAGCAAGAGATTGTAACGAATAATAAACTAGTGGCCTCCTAGCAATCAAACGAAACAATCATAAACATAAACATAGAAGAACATTCGATATTCAAAGCATGAATCAAACAATAAAAATCAAATTAGATCTCACAGTTTGGAGGATTCTGAGGCTTCTGCTTCCTTCAACCAAGTATGAGAGTTTAGCCACGCATGGTCATGGTGAAAACTCAAGAAAATCAGAGAATAGAGAAGAGAGGAGAAGATAAGAGAAGAGAGGTTCGGCCACTCTTTTTCTGATTGCCTTTTTTGATGTTTTTTTCCTCTTTTCTTTCTCTCTACTTCCCCCAAAAGAAGCCAACAAAATCTCCAAAAATTTCTCTAGGTAATCAATCTCCAAGTCTGACTTATCAAGAAAAGACTCAAAAAAATAAGATAAAACAAAGTTCTTGTGTGAATGGGTGAGTGGTGTATTCGCGGATGAAAGCTTCAAGGCTAAGGAATGTCTTCAACATGTCACCAGTGCAGTTGCAGATAATTATGGCCTGATTTTAACCTATACTCATTCTGAATCTATCAAAACTCAAAACATGAAAGTTGTAGAGATTTTCCTTATCTTTCCAACGCATCTTGAATTATCTCAATCAGAGTCTGAATGGGAAATTTATGCTCAATCTACCACACAGCGCCAAAATTGTGTAAAATTACCCGATTAGCCTTGTTTTTCACTTAACGCCCCCTTCCGTGCCCTAAACCAAAATATAAGAATAATGAGTGCATTTGGGCATAAAATAAATATAAAAGACTAAATATTAAGGGAGAAAAATATGATATTTTCTGTTCTCATCGGAGGACATTGGTCCTTGAATTGGAGAATGAAAGCGAAAGCCTGCCAAAGCGACCTCGGCTCGAAGAAACCGATCTACTTCACGGAGGATGATGCGTGCGGGATCCAATACCCGCATGATGATGCTTTAGTAATGAAGCAAAGGATCAATGAATTCGAGGTGAAATGCATCTTAGTAGACTCAGGCAGTTCAGCAGACATACTCTTCAAGGAGACCTTCGACAAATTACAATTACAACAAAGCGACCTGAGATCGACAAATACACCCTTGATAGGTTTCATCGGTGAAGAGGTCAGGCCTCTTGGTCGAGTCATAGTACTCGTGGAGTCGGGCACGTGGCCAAACATTGTACAACTTGAGCACACATTCTTGGTGGTCACGACTCCCTCCCCTACATTGCGATAGTAGGTCTGACTATCACGCACGTTTTGCGTGCTATAGTGTCCACTTAATACTTAGCGATACAGTTCCCAACTGATTACAGAGTGGGGGTCGTGCGAGGTGACCAACTCGAATCCCGCAAGTGTTACATGGCCGCTTTGAAAGGAAAAGCAAAGATAGCAGAGGACGTCGAGCTTGAGCAACCAGCGGAGTAAACTAACGAACAAGCTGCCCCAAAAGAAGAAATAGTCCACATACCAATCTCTGCCATCGAACCAGCCAGAACTCTTCAGATCAGTGTCTCGATCAGCGAACCACTTTGAACTCGGCAAGTAAGTTTATTACTTAAAAATTTAGATATTTTTGCTTGGTCCGCGGCAGAGATGCCCGGGATTGACCTAAAAATTATAACTCACAAGCTTAATGTCGACCCTTTAGTTAGTCTAGTAAGACAAAAGAAACACAACCTCGTCCCAGAACGTTGGAGGGCAGTCGATGAGGAGGTCGGGAAGCTCCTCGCGGTAGAATTCATCAGGGAAATCCATTACCCGAGCTAGGTGGCCAACCCAGTTCTGGTGAAGAGGTCAATGGCAAGTGGCGCATGTGCGTCGACTACACTGACCTAAATAGAGCCTGGTCGAAAGACTACTTCCCACTACCCAAGATTGATTGCCTAGTGAACACAACCTTACGGCATGAGTTGCTGAGTTTTCTAAATGCCTATTCCGGTTACAACTAGATTAGGATGGATCCTATTAACAAAGACAAA